ATATATATATATATATATATATATATATATATATATATATATATATATATATATATATATATATGTGTGTGTGTGTGTGTAAAAAACTCGCAAAATTGAAGAAAAAAAATATCGAATTCTTACTTTCTATCTGATGCATAGCTCTTTTACTTTAACTTCTTCAATATCTTTTAATTTTTGCTTTTATTTTACTTATTTTTTTCCTTTATTTTTACTTCTTTATTTTTTATATTTGAAACTTTCACGTAAAGAAATGCTTCCAAGTTGCGTGTTTTTTTGTTATTTCATTTCAGTTCATCAAGGAGAAGAGCAATCTAATACTGATTTAAGGAGGTCGTGTAACGGCTTGTTTTTTAAAGGTTTTTTTTGGGGAATTTTTTACAAAAAACTATTAAAGTTTTTTGTATCAAAATTCTTCCTACATATTCATTAACATTTTAAGAGTACTTTGTATTATAAAATTTTTGAATTTTTGTGTTATAAAAAAATGAAATATAACTACAGTATATGTATTCTAAGTTACACGTGAAAAGAAAAAGTTGTCGAACGATGATCATGATTGAACTGGTCCAAGTCATCTAAAAGAAAAAAAAAACAAAAAGGTTCTTAATTAAATAAACCATTGACTATATCGCAAGTAGCAGAATTAAAGAAAAAAATTGAAAATTACAAAAATGGTGCTATCTTAAAAATTAAAACTTTCAATTTTCATTAATTTTTTTATCTTTAAACGTCTCTAAAATTGATAAAAAATCTTTAAACGATTGTGATAGGGACAATAGCTACGTATATGCTAAATATGTGAAATTAAGGATTAATTGGTTGAGTCAATCTTGAGATATCATGGGCAGTTTGAAAAATATAGTTTTGAGAAAAACGCGTTTAAAGTTTTGAGCACAGTTTACATAGAGAAAATTATACAGAGTGGCTTACCATTTAATCACTCCAGTACCATAAAAGAGGCTTTCCTCTTATTCATAGAAGTTCTGTAAAGCAAATCTTTCTTTTCGGCGATCGATTCTGGTTTGTTTTGCGTAGTCACTCAAGCGTCTCTCCGAACGTTTAATGCGGATGTTGTTGACGTACATTTCCGCTTAATTTCCAATAACGACTCTTATTGTTGATATTAATTTCAAAATTGGTAAGAAGCCTTTGTTAAATATTTTTACTGCCAAAAAATGGCGATTTCGATGACTTTTGGCCCAGAATGAATATGTTTTGGAACAAAAGTCCAAACCAATAAATTTAGAGATTCGTTATTATCTTGAGTCTCTGCTCCTAAACATCTCTCTAATAAAATCAGTTGAAGATCAATCTTCATAAATAGGTTTCAGAACCTCAAGCACTTTGTCATTAAGAGGTAGTTTTTCATGTCCGAAATTGTTAAATGTATCTGCAGCTTCAGCTGTACGTTATTTACACCAACTATTTTCGCCTGGAGGACAGAAGTGGTGTTGCGGCTTTTTATCCGATGAATTTTTACGGCAGTAAGTGGCCCATATTTCTTTTCTCATTTGTTCAATAGAATCAGGATGTTGTCGAATAACTAGGCTATAGTATTTTATGAGTCCACCTATGACTTTATCTGTTAATTTGTCAGTGCCTTTGCCGCCGATATCTTTATGCGTTTTTTTTTTGCGTTTGGAAATCTTGTGCTCATTCTTTTTTCAACGTAACTGACATATACTTTTTTTTCACAAAAATTTTATCGTCGTATGGATTTATATCTAAAATGTCTTTAAAGATTTTACTGTCGCCGTCTCCAATACGTGAGGTACAGAACTCCATGTTTTTCCTCAGATCTCAAAAACAACTCGATAATTGCATCGATCTCCATTTTATCTGCACTGCCATCGTGATTTATAAAGCATTTTTCTTTATAATCTTTATATTAATTTTTGTATTCTTCATCATCTCTCTTGTTTTTATATAAATTACACGATTGACAGAAACTACTTTTAACGACAGCATCAAGTACTTTCTTCGAATACTTTTTTATAAGAGTAGAAACGCCAAAGATAAAAAATCCTTTTTTCTTCCATGTTCCGTCGCTTGAAACCGTCAAGTCCTTTGCAATGTTTCCAGCTTCTTCGTTCAGTTCTTTCTCTTTTGAAACTGTTCTTTTTAAAACACAATCGTAAACCACAGATGCTACATCACATATATTTTGAAGACAGGCATAATATGTATTCACAGATATTCCATGTTACCAATATTCATCAAACCGCAAAATAAATTGAGGCCGTTTATGCCAATGTCCAAAAGTCGCGTAATAAATACAATGATTTTTGATGGTTGATTTCGTAGGTGTTCTTAATAAACGAAGAAGAATTAATTTGCACTTCGTTGCAGCGATTTTCATAATAATTTTAATTTTCATAATAATTTTAATTTTAAAACCCAAGTTGCGATTGTTCATCTTTTCAAATTTCACATCACTTTTGCACTCTTTGCGAATCACATACGAAACAATCGTCGAAAAAACAATGAAAAAATTAAAAATATAATAACCTAATTCTATCGACACAGGAAAGTCAAAGTCTATAGAATTTCGTAGTTTTCGCCGACGTGCTGGTGAATTCAATATTCTGCTGAACGATATGCTGATTACTGCGAAAAATTCGTTTTCTCTTGATAGGTGTGATTTGACCTTTTCTATTCATTTTCACTAATTGTTTAAATGGATAAACTTGAAATTACGTCAAGAATGTTTGAAATAAATACAATACTCTGCGCATTAACATTTGCTCTAGTCGGCGTTTGAAACTGTACTAAACTACAAATCAAGAGAGTAAATGTTTCTGACAAGGTCGAAGTCGGCCCCTTACGTATTCGAACTCCTTCCCAAGTCTGCAAAGAGTAATCTTAGAATAACGGCGCACTTTTGTGTCTGCAAAGTTGGCACCTCAACTTTTGGCACCGCAAGTTTTGAGGCAAGTTCACCCGCAATAGTTCTACAGTTTCTGATAAGTCAGATATCATAAGTCAGATAATTCTGATATCAATAGTTCAGTTCATTTAAGGCAAAAAATCGATTTTTGAAAAAATGCGGTGCCAACTTCTCGTGGCACCTCAATTTCTAAAAAACGCTGTTCCAACGATGGTACTTTATAGCTCTTGAAGAGTTCTATAGTTCTTGATATATTGCAATGAGAGTTCCGGCCCCTAATTATTTTTTTTTAATTTTGAAAAGTTAGAGCCAGCACCGCACTACAAGAGTAAAGTATCAGTTCGCACACAGTTCCAACCGGTCTTTTCATATTTCCCTATAGTTTTATCATAGTTCCAAAGCATTGGATAGGTCCCGTCGAAGGAACTGGCCCGCAACTATTTTTTTTAATTTTTAAAAGTTGCAACCAACACAGCACCACAAGAGTAAAGTATCAGTTCACACGCAGTTCCAGCCGGCTTTTTTACATTTTCCTATAGTTCTACAATAGTTCCAAAGCTTTGGGTAGGTCCTGTCGAAGGATCTGGTCCAAAAAAAAAATAGTTGGAGGCCAGTTCCTTCGTTGAGACCGACTGGAATTGCGAATTGATATTTTACTCTTGTGGTGCGGTGCTGGTTTCAACATATAAAAATTAAAAAAAAAATAGTTGCGGACTAGTTCTTTCGACGAGACCTACCCGATGCTTTGGAACTATTGTAGAACTATAGGAAAATGTGGAAAAGCCGGCTGGAACTGCGTGCGAACTGATACTTTACTCTTGTGGTGCGGTGCTAGCTCTAACTTTTAAAAATAAAAAAAAAATAATTAGGGGCTCGTTGCAATATATCAAGAACTGTAGAACTCTTCAAGAACTATGAAGTATCATCGATGAAACGGCATTTTTTGGAATTTGAGGTGTTACATGAAATTGGCACCGCATTTTTCAAAAATCGATTTTTTGCCTTAAATGAACGGAACTATTGATATGATCTATCAGGAACTGTAGAATTATTGCGGGTGCAAATGGAACTTGCCTCAAAACTTGCGGTGCCAAAAGTTGAGGTGCCAACTTCGCAGACACTTTACTTTTACTCGAAATCTACTTGCAGCATAAAATTGTTTCGCTCAGCAACGTTCAATAGCTCGGCGAACGCGTTGTAGACCAGCCTCTTCCAACCGAAAATATTGAGAAGTCAATGAAATCCTTTTGCACATATATTTTCTATATCATACAAAATATGCAAAAGTCTCAAAATCGATTTTTTGGACTCGTTACACGATAATGCCCCCTTAATGATATCAGTATCAGATTGCTCTTCTCTTCCTGATAACAGGAATTGAAATGTTCACGTTAGGAACGCTATAAAAACGTAGTTCCAACTGGTTTGACTGGAAGTCAAATCTAGTAACGTTTTTCTTTTTCTTTAATTTGGAGAACTTTTAATGTCCAATGTACTCACCGCAGAATCAGTCGGCAAACTAGAGTCCCATTCCTTGCCGTTATGAGAACCCCCTCCATTCCACTTAAATTCGCTCATACATCCTCCATTAGCAAGTGTCTTTATTCTTTTCACAAGATATTCTTGGTTGTTACAGAGTTCCAAGAAGGGAACTAACGTTGGCAGAGTAGGAATCGCGGAGACCAAGAACGGTGCTTGTGCGAGCTTCCTGAGTCTATCCAGTCCCACGTGTCCTGGTTGCGAGTCGCTTAGACCATGGCGTATTAATGCCACGCATATATTATCTATCTCCAAAGCTACACGTTCCACGATTGTTCTGCTAATCCACTAAAAACATTAGAATGCACAATATTTTTCATATGTACTTGTGGAAATTTAAAAATATCCAAAAATATATTTTATATTTAATATATTTTTTATATAATATGAAACATTATCTTACCATGCGAAGAAAGGCAATCCATTCGTCAACCTTTTTCTGATCAATTCTGTATTTTCTCCATACATTCATTGCACCAAATGTGCCTCTAGGAGAACTACCCTCTTCAGCACCAGGACTAGTTGCCTTTGTTTTATCTAAATTACCATATGTACATGATCATTATTAATGATAACATAAAATATTTTCAACATTAATAAGATTCAGTCTTACCTATAGTAGGTGCAAGTTGATAAGCACATCTTCTTAACAATGGTGATACTTCACCAGGTCTTCGAACAGCAGGATGAGACCAGAAGGAACTTAAAAGATTTGAAGGCTGATCGACATTTGTGGGCAGCATACATTTTCTTTGCTGTTCAACCTCTTCAAGGTAACTTTCCAGTTCACATTCATCTCGAATAAGGTCTTCATTTGTAAGACTACCATTCAAAGATATGCTCATAGATTTACTAAGTGATCCATTAGAGCTTACAGGTGATTTAGGAGATACAGGACTGTTGTACTTAAAAACTGATGACGTCGAGTAATCCTCTTAATAACAAAAATAATATAAAAATATATTTATATTTATTCTTTATATAAATATATAAAAACAATTATAATTGTAAATAACACACATGAAATTTCTCTCTCTCTCTATATATATGTACATATGTGTATATATATATACACACACACACACACATTATATATATATATATATATATATATACAGATATATATATAATCATATATAATTTGTAGATTTAAACATTATCTGTTATCTGTCATGAAGAATACAATCTATATTCTATGTGTAATAAAATTTAAGATATAACAAAATTGTTGAATAAATACTTTGCATACTAATTTCACTCAAAACTGAAGATGCAAGAGGTATTGTGCGTCTGAGATTTATACAGGATAAATTTAGCGAGGGACTTGTCTCTGAAGACTTCTGCTGCTGAACCACTTCATTTTTAAACAAGGGCTCATCCTCTGAAACTCCTAAAAGTCGCTTCTGTTTAGGTTTCAGTACAATTGGTTGCAATCTCATGGTGGCCCATATATATCTCATAATATGATAGAAAGCATTTATTGTAAGTATAGATGCTAAACACCACTCGAGCCAGTAAATTGGCTTGTATACAGTTCCATCACACATTCTGAAAACAAAATATCTAGCTGACAAATATTTTCACTATAAAGTTATCTTGTACTCTTTGAAGAAAATTTTGTGTCTTACACATCATACAACACAATACTCAGTAACAATATATTAACACAAAACCATGTAATACTATCACGAGCTTTGTTTTGTGTTAGCCTCAAATCCAAGAGCTGTTGCACCTGAGGCTTTGGTGTTAAAATTCTGCAAATAGAAAATACATTCACGCTTGTAATTAACACAATTTGTAGTTAACAAAACTTTCAAAAACACGTAACCCATATCTTATATTTTTAAAAATCTTACCTTGCATTGGGAGATATACATTTCATAGGAGAATAGAAACTGCTCATCTTGGAGAGAAACTACGCTATATAAATTAGTATTAATTAATAACACAGTTATTTTTTAAGTATAAAAAACACGGTCAATAATCACTTTCCCGCGGGCTGCAAAACGTGATTTCTAGTGAGTACGCTTAGAGACCAGTGTCACCAAATTGAGAACATTCAATGGATACATCCAGGGGTGCGTTCAGATTCTTCATCCGGTGCACACTATTACTAGAAACACTATAGTATATGTTACATATACTATAGCACTTCTAGTAATAGAACACACCCGGGTGTGAAATCTGAACGCAGCCCAGGGGGTCGATCATATATCTTTTCATCTAGGGCTGCGTTCAGATTCCACACCCGGGTGTATTCTATTACTACAAGTGCTATAGCATATATAACATATAGTGTATATATACTATATACTATAGTGCATATATACTATAGTGCATATATACTATAGTGTTTCTAATAATAGAGTGCACTCGGATGAAGAATCTGAACGCACCCTAGGACTATGTTCAGATTCCTCATCCGGGTGCACTCTATTACTAGAACACTATAATATATGTCATATATACTATAGAACTTCTAGTATTATAGCATGTTTGACTGGCTTTGGGTTAACCCACTCTAGGTTATTCAGCCTATTTATTGGTCGAACAAGTATTTATAAGCTTTATGATTGGCTAGCAGAGATTTATGACGTCATTAATCGTTCTCTGAGCGATTAACCCAGGGTCAGTCGAACACGCTGTTAGAGTGCATCTGGGTAGGGAATTTGAACGCACCCTAGGATGAATTCGTGAAAAAGTGAAAATTTTCACGTAAAACGAAAAAGTGAAAAAATGAAAACTTTCATGCAAATTGATATTTCCCTTGAAAAGTAATATCCATATTCATAATAAGTTAATCAATTACGATGGCTGCTGCATGGTGAATAATTAATGAGGAACAAAACGAAAGAAACGAGAATTTATGTATTATTGGCTCCTGCACACAGGATGCGGTAATGCTTGCCGCGCGGCAGAAGTCCGCGCGATAGCCAATCAATATGTTGTTTTCCCGTAAGAGCTAGAAGATTATTACGGAAAGCACCATATTGATTGGCTGTTACGCGAACTTTCGCTGCGCGGCAAGCATTACCGCCTCCTGTGTGCAGAAGCCATAAGAGCTTAGAAGATTATTACGGAAAGCAGCATATTGATTGGCTGTCGCACGAACTTTCGCCGCGCGGTAAGCATTATCGCGTCCTGTGTGTAGGAGCCATAAGGATGCGATTAGATATTACGCGTATGCGGTATGCGGTACGCGGAACGTGGTAAAGTAACTAAAAACTCCGGGCGGTGAGCCGCGTCTATTTTCTTCCTCCTGTTACATGGAGCAGAAACTTGCGCGGAAAAACGGCACGGGCTAGTGAAAAATTCTCATTTATTTTTATTATCTAAAAAGTATTAACTTATTTCTATGCACATTTTACCAATATTCTTATTTTTTCAACAAATGTACTTATTAATTGCATTTAAATCAATTAATTCCGTTTAAAAGTACATAGAAATGAAAATTTGTCACTAGCCCGTGCCGCTTTCGCGCAGTTTCTGCTCCATGAATAGTAGGAAGAAAACAGACGCGGCTCACCGCGCGCGGTTTCTAGTTACTTTACAGCGTTCTGTGTACCGTATACCGCGCTACATCTAATCGCACCCTAATTCAACTCGACTCAACTCTGGGTAGAGATCATGAATCTTTTCCCCTAGTGTGAACTCGTGAAAAGTGAAAATTTTGTAATGAACTCGTAAAAGATGAAAATCTTCACTAAACTCGTGAAAAATGAAAGATTTAACGTGAATTGTAAGTAAAACAAATAATACAATATACTCAAGACAATACCAATTTGCAATGGATATCTTTAGAATTTTTTCAGCATGTTTTTAAGACATAGTGACGTCTTTAGAACGTCCCTTGGAAGTCTGCTTGTCTGGGATTACTTTAGGATAAATTATTAAAAGATAAAATATTCTATTCATATTAAAATTATAAATCTGCAGAAAATATATATTTTATATAAAATAATGCATAAAATAAATGCAATAAATACATAAAATAAATTTACATTTTACTTACTGCATACAATTTATAATATATTACACTTTAACTTTCTGATGCATACGTATCTTAACTTTGCAAACTTCGTCGGTATGCTTTCACTGCCTATATGTCATCACGCTTCAATTGGCTTTCGTTGTTCATTTTTAATGGACGTAGGATTCTTATGTCAAATGCCAATTGTCGCATAACCATAAAAATTAAAGTCACTATAAGAAATTCTAATCACTTTGTACATAATATGCGAGTGTAGTATTATAGCTCCTGCACACAGGACGCGGTAATGCTTGCCGCGCGGCAGAAATCCGCGCAACAGCCAATCAATATGTTGTTTTTCCGTAAGAGCTAAAAGGTTATTACGGAAAGCAGCATATTGATTGGCTGTCGCACGAACTTCCGCTGCGCGGCAAGCATTAACGCGTCCTGTGAGCAAGAGCCATTAGGCTGATATTTCACGTGTCGTACGACAAGCTTTTTGGATACGTTCATTGGTTGACGAACAGAGACCTAGAAATACTCTATTCGCCAACCAATAAACGTATCCGAAAAGCTTGTCGTATGACACGTGAAATAGCATCCTTACATTATTTTTCACATTTAAACCACATGCTTAAAATTTTTCATGGAAACGAACTTGTTTATTTTCGAATCATTAACTTTCAAATGTTTTTAAAAGTGACTTATCAAAACATGCAATATATAAGGATATGTTATTGTACCTTTAATTAATTACAATTATTTACTGACTGGTTTTTTCCATAAAACAATATGATTACCTTTTTCTACTAAAATATTAGTAACAATCAATATTAAATGCAATCTTTGGAATATAAAAATTCATATACAAAAATACATATATATATAAAAATCATATATAAAAGAAATAATGCAATATTTTAAGGCTATTATACTAACATAATTCCATTACATGCCTAAATATATAAGTTTGGATTAGACATTATAAAATATCATAAATTGTCGTGTGATATTTGCACATATACTTAACTAAAATGAGTGCATCCAGTATTGCAACCGCTCATTGAATGCTCAGGGAGCTGTTGCATCCAACTGACATATTCCTTTAGACCTAAAAAATATACACCAATTAGGTGCAAAAGTTTACTGAGTGCTCAATGAACGGTTACAATATTGAATATATGATGAATAATTTTGATAAAGATCCAATTACATATCACATAGCTATTTACAAAACGAAAACCACAGTGCTTACAATATATCGCAAAATCACGTATTCCTAGGTTGATGCCGCGTCCCTTATTTTATATCATTCTACTGAAGTGAATTTAAATGTTTATAAAACATTGAAAACAAATCCATGAAGGATACAGCATCAGCCTGAAAGCAAAATATATTAAACATTTCTCCACAAACCTCAAATCTAAAATATTGGATTATAAAAATTACATATTGTACATATTGTTTTATCAACAGTGATGCTCCCTTTATGTATATTGTGTCATAAAAAAATATAATTACTAAAGAGTCTCCGTCATTTTTATAAGAAGCTTATTTTTAGCAACGTTGTCACCTATCGAGCATAACACTTCTTCGATAGTTCCATCTGCAGCTGCCTTTATGATATGCTGCAAATGCAATATTGTTGAATACATCGTACATATATTAAAATTAATAAACCCTAATAAAATAATTTACCTCCATTTTCATAGCAACAATAACTATTAGTGAGTCGCCTTTCTTTACAATATCTCCTTTGTTGACAAAAATTTTATCAACTAAACCAGGCATCGGGCTTAACGCAGTATATGGATTTTGTTCCGCTTGACTTGTAAATGCAGTCACGAATTTTGGAGTTGGAATAATCAGCTGCCATTCGCGATCCTATGCACAAAGATTCTATGAACTTTATAATCGAAGAACTTGTCTTCAAAAGTTTGTGTTAAATCTGCATATAAAAAAATAAAGATTGTTCTCTCTATAAAGTTAGAGAAAACTTTATAATCTTACAAGCATCACAACTTATTTTTTTAATAAAGATATGTATTTTATATCTTTTTACGTCTATGAAATTTTTTTCATCAATATTATCTTGTTTCATTTGTAGTACTTTTATGATTATTTACCTTAGTAAATATATGCAACTTATTATCAAGTTTGACTGTCTCTGCTTTAATGATAATCCCGTCAATTTCCGCGGACAACTCTAAAGTATCATCCTTCTTTCTCAAAGTTCCATTCACTTTTCTCCAAGATCCTAGTTTATTAACTCGCATTATATACACGTCAGGTTCGATATATTTCACTTCTACCATGTGACTCTCATTTTCAATGTTAAAATGAAACGTATGTTTTAATACGTGATTCAATCTTAGTCCAGTTTCTACAGCGAAAGGACTGAAAGGGTCTTTAGTTTCTATAGATGTATTTAAAGAGTTCATCTCTTCATGTAGTATCGAGGCAAGAGCAGCCTGAACAAGTATTTCGTTGGGTATGTGTAACTTAGGGAATAGTTGCGCGAAATTTTCCTTGATGAAATCTGTGTGTACCAAACCATTTTGAAATTTGGGATGAACACAGAGATCCTTGATAAACTCAATATTTGTATCTAGACCAGCTATCTGAGAAAGCAAATAACAGACGCAAAATTTACTCAATGATAAATACAGATAAATATGTTATCAATACCAAATATCTATCTATAAATTTTTTTGTAACTTTGTACAACTTCTTTATATCACTTACGTTGTATTCACTGAGCTGTGATCTAAGTATATTGAGAGCTTCGGTCCTGTCTTTTCCCCAGACCACCAATTTTGCTATCATCGGGTCGTAATGCACGGACACTTCATCGCTTTGTCGTACACCAGTTTCGACTCTAATATTGTTTGTAGCTTCAGGAGATCTCAAATAGACAAGTTGACCGGCTCCTGGCAAGAAACCATTCCTTGGGTTCTGTGATGTCACAACGTATTTGTTCAACAACAAATGTGATTACATATATTTACTACAATATGGAATATGGATAATATAATAGATGAATATGGATAATATAATAGATGAGATGTATAATAAATTTATATAAATACCTTATATTTATACAGTGTCCCAGAACAATCTACGAAGCTCTCGTGAGAACGTAGAGCAAAGTGAACATAACATTCCTACATTGTTTTGCGATATTCGCAATAATAATCGAGAAATTAATTGTGAAAGATTCAGATAAGATTAAGAAAAAGCGTGTGCTGAATAGTTGGAGGAGGAGCGCTTAACCACAGTGCGGACCTAATAATGTAGTATACGGATACCGGCGCGCGGTGAGTGGAAGAACATCGCGTCTCTGTCTGTGCTTATATCCAGTGATGCGATTTCGAGCCCGTGCACGTTGGCTAACCACAGATATTTGCACGATGTTCTTTCAATTATCGTGCACCGGCATCCGTGTGCTATATTACTGGGTTCGCGCTGCAACTCGAATGCTTCGTCCTCTACCATTCAGCACACGCTTTTCCTTAATCTTTCCCAATTAATTTTTTGGTTATTATTACGAATATCGCAAAACGGTATAGGACTTTTATGTTTACCTCGACCCGCTCTACGTTCTCACGAGAGCTTCGTATATTGTTCTGGGACACCATAGTAATATCTTATATCTACCTATTATATACAGGGTGTTCAAAAAGTCCCGGACCGGTGAAATATCTCGAAAACTAAGCATTTTAGAAAAAAATGTTTCAGATAAAAGTTGTGGCGTTTAAAAAGATGTATTTACTGATCACATCAGTTTGACCTTGGGTTGCGTAGCGAAGGTCAGGTCAAGGTCACATTAATTTTTTTA